GATGAGAAACGCTTCCTTTGTCCGGGAGGGGGAGGAGTAATCATAGAGTAAGGAAGAGTAGAGCGACTCCTCCCCTAAACATAAACATCAGAATCCGGAAACCTAAAGTCGGAAAAGAGAGAGTAAGGAAGAGTAGAGTGACTCCCCCCCCCAAACACAAACATCAGAGTCCGGAAACCTAAAGTCGGAAAAGAGCGCGTGAACTGCGGAGAGAAAGTGAAAGTGGCAAAACCAAGATTGTTTCGGGCTACCTAAAGAGCAGCAGGTTTTATTTCGTAGAAACCTTTCCGGATTGCAGTTTTACTTCTCCAAAGGCATGGCGTATTAACTTAACAGGCGGGTTTTTAAAATGTATAAATGAGAGATGTGCAAATTTGTGTTCTTGGACAACAAATCCCATAACTTGCCAGGTAGCATCGCTGCAAATCTACTGCTACTATTAAGAATAATCTTAGATCTACAGAACTGGAGGGGACGACCCATGGATCATGGAGTCCACCCCTTTCAAAGAAGAGACCTAAACCACCGAGCTAAAAGAAGTGTCTATGCAACCGATCACACAGTAAGACACTATGGAAATACAGTATATGATATACAATTTTGCTACATAACTTTACAATATATAGATACATGTTACAAAATACCTACATACTTCTGGATGAACAAAGCATCTATAGATCAAAACAGATAAAAGAATTCGTGTGTCTGGCTGGGGAGGCAGGGATTTGTAAAACAGGAATAAAAATACAAAAAGTACAAACGTTATTTATTACTCTTAACAAGCAGGCATTAACCACACCCTTCCCGATGATTCTGACGTGTACAGGGATGTGAAAGGCCTTTGTACGATCCCAAGTATAAAACGAAAAAAAAAAAAAACACAAAGGGTTTTGCACCCGTCCCGCGATAATTCTAGTTGCTTTCAAGATTTTTTTTTGGGGGGGTAAGTATTATGCTATCGGGTTTTGTTTTCCGTTTTTGGCGAAATTTATTCGGCCAGAAATCAAAAAACACACGGAACAGGTGAAGAGAGTCGCCGCCTTCCCTTCCGCCGAATGAAAGTTAAAAAGAAAGCGGCGCGCGCAGACGGCCGAGGGAAAACCGGTGACGTCATCTCCAGGCCCCTCGCTCGCTTTTATTGCGTCACGCGAGGCGCCCTCACGAAACCATGGCAACGGAGGACGCGGCACTTCTTATTGGCTCTGCGCTCCGGCCGCGAAAGCAATCCGGATTCTAGCGCGCCAAAAGGACGACAGAAGCGGACCTTGGTGAGGCGAATGCTCAACTCTCGTGTTTCTAGGTGAGCGCTACCCCGTTTTATACAGAGAAATAGGCCGTATGGTGGTGGAGACAATACATATCTTAATCCAGTGGTTCTTAACCTTTGTTACTCAGGTGTTTTTGAACTGCAAACTCCCAGAAACCCCAGTCAGGACAGCTGGTGGTGAAGGCTTCTGGGAGTTGCAGTCCAAAAACACCTGAGTAACCCAAGGTTAAGAACCACTGTCTTAATCGACCATTAAGAATATAAAAGAAAAAAACAAGGAGCAAGAAGCAAATAGTGAGTTTTCGATGATAAAACATCTTCCTCAAGGCTGTGGATCCAGTTCTTGTGGATCCAGTTCTGAACTGATGTGCTGTCACTTAATGTCCCAAAGCCGCATGGCTGATGGTGTAGAGGCCAGGTAAGCTTCTTAGATGGACAGCTGAAGCATGCATGCCGGTTTCAAGCTCTTCTTCAACTAGCAATTTGGAATTTATTGCCCATCTCTTTAAAAAGAGGACAGTCACAGGCATTTTATGTATATATATATTATAGCTCATTAATTTTGTTTCATGTTAATCAATGTTGTTACTGACACGGTGTTCCCTTGTCAGGCGTGGAGACTGAAAATGTTGTCCTTCAGTCTAATTCAGGTGTTGCCGAGATGAGCGGTGGACCTGGTGGGAAAAGTGCTGGTGGGAGAGGAGATGGTGCCTTTCACCGATGGAGGGGAAGAGGAAGATGGCAAGGCAGAGGAAAAGGACATGGGCAGAGAGAGGACGGGAAAAATGCAGCCGGCAAGTCCATGTCGGGTATGCTCATTCTGCAGCATGACTTCCTTTTTGTTTCCTTAATAAGGAATCCCTTAGGAAGGTTGGTGAGAAGAAAATGTGTTCTGTAATAATGCGATATAACGCCTGGAGTCTAAGGTTACTGGGGAATAGTATATATGCTCACCTACTAGGTGAGGCACACCTCTGTAACAGAAATTATGTAATTGGCAGTGGTTGATTCTTGTTGACTAAAGGCTTCCTTTTACAATTTTGGACTGTGTGTAACTTTGTTATATTGTGCAAGAGCCGTGTTCTTTTGTGCTGTGAAGCTGGAACCAACTAATAGCGACCCTAATAGGGCTTTCAATGTAAGTGAGACATTTAAGGAGTAGTTTTACCAGTTCCACTCCCCCAGTCAGTTTCCATGCCTGAGTGGGGATTTGAACCCTATTCTCCTGGAGTCGTAGTCTGTCAACCTATCCACTACATCATACACACCCCAAAATTGGAAAGGAACTCCTGCCGATGTCATTCTCATTGTACCGGCAGAACTGTACAAGAGAATCTAGCCAATCAGAATTTGGAAAGGTGATGTTTGTAAAGCTTAATCCCACGTCAGAGTTATTTTTATTGTTGCTTTCTGTATAAATAGTATGCACCTACTGTATTTTTTCTTAAAACTTTTAATTTAATTTTTTGGGGGGCTACTTTTCAGCTCAGCCTCGGCTCATTCAGACAACACTAGATCAAGCTACTCCTTACAGAGGCTGGAAACTGTACTTCTCTGAAGGTAAATCTTTTTTCTGTTAGACCCAATGCTGAAGAACTGATTTGAGGGATGAAGAAACAAATAACATTTTTGGCTTGTACACAATTCTGATCTTTATCTCAAGACATGATGAAGCCAAATACTTAATATGTTGTGAAATACATGACTATGTAATGAATGTAGTTGGAAGTATCTCCTCCAGCCCATGGGTACAGCCACTGTGCCAGCATAAAGTTAGGCTAGAGGGAAGGTAGCCCTATGTAATTTTGTGACAGGGCAAGGGTAGTCCTAGGCAATTTCCAACATATCTAGGCTAGAAGTGGTTTGGACTCGGCACAGCTTAAGCTGGCCCTTGGCTCTAACTTAATCACGTGCCAGTTACAAGGGTAGATACAAGACTCCTTTGCCACAAAAATTCTCTTCTACTGGCAGAAATGTTCCTTGAGTCCGGATTGCACTCTACCATAATATGTACACTTTCAGAATATAGGATCAGGACTTCCAAAAGGTATAAATATAAATATTAATTCTTGGATGCTTGTCCAATTCAGCATATGATGGCAACTCACCTTTTGTTCAGAAGACTGAAGCCTTTGAAAAGTTCTTTATGTCACGAATAGAACTTTATGACAAGGTAAGACTTTATTATGTGACCTTATCTTCCCAATTCCTGTGTTCTTTACCTTGTCCCCAGTTATCATTTTTAAAACAGACATTCTGCCTTGGATACCTTTGCCTGCTGAGGCTAGATTGATGACAAATAGCAGGGCCTTTCCCATGGTTGTGCCTGGCTAGCAACACAATCTCATTTAGTGACTTTTAGGAACCTTTATAAGATTGGAAGTAGAAGGGAGCACAGTACTTTCATGCTTGTATTTGTGTTCATTCAGCTGAACTGATCTCATCCTGAATATACTACCTCAAAAAGGCAAAATAATTTTGCTGAGGTCCAAGTTCTTGGCTGTTTACAAGTTTAACCTGTTCATTTGGCTCAACTGTGTGCCTGACCATTTATATTTTGGAATAGTGAGGCAGTTTAATAAAGGGTTGGTTTGCTATGAGACAATATTGGCAATATTCCTAAAACACATAACTATTGTTTACTAAGACATTTAAATACCCTGCTTCATCCTTGCAGATACTAAGATAGAATGCAGTTATGTTTAAATGGGTACATAATGTCCAGAATCATACTGGTTTGCATGGGTGTGGAAGCGTAATCCCACAAGGATTCTCTCCTTCAGTGGCCTCAGCGTCATGCAACCAGTTGTGTGCTGGTTACAAAATCAAGCGTGCAGTGGATCTCCTAAGAGCTGCCTGTAGGAAGGGAAAAACACAGGGTGCAGGCTCTTCTGAACAGGAGTCTGCCCAGTATAATAGGAAAGTTGGATGTGATCTTCCAAAATACCAATATAAATTCACTTTCATGCCATTCCATTTTACAGGATGAAATAGAAAGACAAGGAAGTATTCTCGTGGATTATAAAGAGCTGGTTCATGATAAAGAATTATTGGAGTTAATACCTGATATTGCTACAGAATTGAGGGATATGCCACAGAAGATACTGGACTGTATGGGCCTGGCCATACATCAGGTAAATATGCTGAACAAGAATGAATGGTAGACTTTTGAGAGTAAAACTGTTACTTCATGTTGGGTGTTAGCTGATACTGAAGGAACAAAGGTTTAAATCCAGTAGCAGAATTTTGTTCCTCTTCTCTTCCCATTCTGATGCAGCTTTTGGCACCATGTTTTTTTTGGGGGGGGTATACAACAAACTGCAGTATTGTGAGAAAATCCCCCACCTTTAAGTTCCGCTGATAAAAATAGCTCACAAGTGTATGTCCCCTACTGGATTTAGCCTGTTGTAATTGAGCAGCCTTTTCACAAATATAAATGTGAGGTGAAGATGTTATTCCTACTATTAAAAGTCTAATAGCACTTCAAAACAAGTTCTGCTGAGTTCAGCAGGACTTTCTTCCAAGTAATTTGTAGAGGATTGCAATGTAAACAGTTTCGTATGTCTTAGAAAAGAAAAAAGAAGTCACACAGAGATGCAATAAAATTGACCGGAGACTTTGCACGGCTGCTTTAATTTTGAAAGCTGGAAAACTATAAGGTAGAAGAAGTATATGCATTTCTTGGTAGAAAATGTCATCCTATGTATGTCTACTCAGAAGTAAATCCTACTGAATTAACTGAGGCTCAGGTTTGAACGCCTGAGTATTTTTTCAGAGAAACGAGTTGCTAAAAAGCTTCTAACTTTGCCACAGGATCAGCCAAATATGGACATTAGTAAATTATGAGGAAAAACTTGTTGTGGCTTCAAATAAACGTTTGTACTGTAACTTGAATTTTATGCAAATTTGACAGTGAAAGCCAGTAACCCAACTATCCGATGTGGTTGTTGTGGGTTTTTCCGGCTCTTTGGCCGTGTTCTAAAGGTTGTTCTTCCTACCGTTTCGCCAGTCTCTGTGGCCGGCATCTTCAGAGGACAGCACTCTGTGCTCTGGTGAGTCCTCTGGTGAGTGCTGTCCTCTGAAGATGCCGGCCACAGAGACTGGCAAAATGTAAGGAAGAACAACTTCAGAACACGGCCAAAGAGCCCGAAAAACCCACAACAACCATTAGATCCCGGCTGTGAAAGCCTTTGTGAATAATCTGATGTGGTTTGACCAAAGCTTCTCAGAAAGCTGTAAATGTTCATGCTAGCAGAATGCAAAACGTAAGGATTAGAAAATGTATGAATCAAAATTATTTTATTTTATTTTCTTAGATTTATACCCCGCCCATCTAGACCAATGGTCTACTCTGGGCAGCAAAGTAATTACCTTGTTTGTGCTGTTTCTTTTATTCTGAGGAACTTTAAAAAAATGAATTGGAGTCAAATTGTATTCAAAACTGAATATAACCGTAGGCTGATTTGATTAGATCACTGGTTCTTAAACCTTTGTTACTCAGATGTTTTTGGACTGCAACTCCCAGAAGCCTTCACCATCAGCTCTGCTGGCTGGGGTTTCTGGGAGTTGCAGTTCAAAAACACCTGAGTAACAAAGGTTAAGAACCACTGGATTAGATGATATGCATAAAGATTTTCCTCCCTCTCGATTACAAACTCCAATATGGGAAAATCTGAGTGCATACAAAGGGCTGTATAGATTTTATGTCTCAAACACACGCAGATGTGCTTCTTTAAAATACTGGATGAATTGGTTCCTGAATACCTTGAGAGGAGTTCTTCAGATAGACTGCCTGCTAAAAAGCTGCCCCTGGGGTTGGGAACACCCTAGGGTGTTGTAAGGGAGGACTACCATGGAGAAGGAGAACAAGCCAAAGGCCCCTTGCACTTCCATAAGCACCTTTTGCTTGGCCAAAGCCTCCTTTGGACCCAAGTCTTAATGGTGAAGACTGATGCTATGCCTGGTTTCATGGCCATATTTTTGCCTCTTTTCTCTTATAGGTGTTAAGCAAAGATCTTGAAAAACATGCTGCGGAACTGCAGATGCAAGAAGGACTGCTTGTTGATGAAGAGCCCATAATAAATGTGCCATATATTAATGCAAGGTGGCTATTGTTTTTGAGAATTGCTCTCTGTTTTTGTTGTTGTGGTGGTTTTTAATGTTCAAGGCCAGATAAATTGGCTGGATTTCCAAAAACTAGTAGATACTAGAGATGGACAATATCTATCTATACAAGAAAACCCTCTAATATATGAAGATATTATTAAATCCATGAATATAGGAGTATTAAAAAGTCTACAACGATGATTTTTCTTTACTTGTACAATTTTAACAATGAAAAAATGAGAATATTAGGATAATAAATTCCTAGCATATATAGAGAATGGAGATAGCAACGCCAGTAATAGTAGCCACTATCTTGATCACCCTGGTCTCAGACAGACGTAGCAGCAATCCAAATTATTTTGTCAGAAAACAACATGGGGAGCTGTAAGCTCACACATGTCTCTATTTTTCATATGCCAGACGAGAATGTGTAAAGCTTTCAATTGTGGTTTGGAACAAACTACAGATTTTTATTTTGTCTTCATACAGGAAGCTGGTTTGTATGAACCAGGAGTGGAGAATATGTTGCCTTCTGTGTGCCTTTGCTCCTGTCAGCAATAGCTAGCATAACAAGGCTGAGGCATCAAGAGGGCTGTAGTCTAGCAACATATGAAGGAGCAGCTGTTCACCCGTGGTATATAAACCATAGTTCTAGCACAATCCTATGCACATAAATCAGAAAATTGGGTTTTACAGATTTAAAAAGAGCCCACAGTGTTACATAAATTGGTGTGCCAGTATTATGGTCTTTAGCATAACTGTCTTTGAATGGGGGCTACTCTGTTTAATACAAGAACATTGAATTTTTCTTCTTTGTGATTATGACTTATAGGGTATACAACTATGATCCATTGATTCAACTTAAGAATATCCGAGCTAATTGCTATGGAAAATTTGTTGCTTTACGTGGGACAGTTGTGCGTGTCAGTAACATAAAACCCATCTGCACCAAGATGGCATTTATATGCAGTGCCTGTGGAAATACTCAGAGTTTTCCTCTACCTGATGGAAAATATACTCTCCCTACAAAGGTAACTTTTAAAAAAATCACCACACCTTAGTATTAGATAGTGACCAGATTTAAGAGGAAATAGAACATTTGGAAAAAAATAGGTTAACTTTGCAAAACTTGTTTTTGGCTTGTTTACTTTTTGGAATTTTTTCAGAGCTTGTTAAATGATGCTAAGTAATAATTACTTCTTAGTATTATTAATGCAAGAAGGAAGAAAAATTAATGTATGCAAAATTTTCTGACAGTTAACCCAAATGGAATAATTTTATGATTATTTTCTGTACTGAACTTTTACACACTGTATTTTAGTGTCCACTTCCTGTATGTCATGGACGATCATTCACTGCAGATAGAAGTTCCCCTTATACAGTTACAGTGGACTGGCAGTCTATTAAGTAAGCAGCTTTAATATCTGTTCCTTTTTGATTAAATTTAATTTTTGACTGAAACCTTTTCTTGATCGAGATTTTTGTCTTAATAAGCTCAGCTTTAAATAATCACAGCCTTACTGTAATTGGAATGTAATTTGCTGGGAAGATTAACAATTTACTATGCAGGATAGATTTGATTTAAATTAAATTCATGATTTAAATAAAAAACAAATTAAATTTTTTTAATTGCTATTAAATTGTGATTTAAATAATTTGATTTTTCAAAAATCATTGATTTATATCTACCCTGTTACTATATCAGACTTAAATTGTAATGCAATTTTTAAAATACAATAACACAAGATGCAATGAATAAGAAAGAAACCCCATTTGTATGGTAAATATACTGTTCTATGTTATAGTTCCATGCACGTTGTTTGTCAACTTGATCCAAAGATAAATACTGTACTGTATCGTCCAATTTACCATTGTGGAGACTAGCTGGAGGTCTGGCTGTTCAGCTAGCTTTGTATTTGCAATATGATGTTACTTTTGATAAAGAAAGCTTTATTATCAGGTCCTTGAATTGCAAATTATCCAACTCAGCCTTGTGACAAGAACAGATTATTGTAAACAGTTCTTTGAAAAGTCAATTGTGTGCTTTTCAAAAGGGAATGAAGATGAATTATCAAGAACTTGTGCCAGTGCTCCAGGAACCAAAATGGATTCTTGCACACATGGATCAGGAGTCTAGTTTTAAATTACATAGTAAAGTCCTACAGTATGCTAAACAGCCTATGTTCTTCATGTAGTAGAAATACCTTTAGAATGTATTATTTACTACAAATTTAAATATCAGTTTAGCATTAAAATCCCATGCCCTTCATTCCTCACCCCAGAACTTTCACTCTTCCCTTCTGTTCCTCCCCCCTGCCCCTCCTATTCTTTCTGTTACATTGGTTTCTCCACCCTAGTCCTAATTCAACTGGTGTTAGAAATCCATTATTCCCCCCCTTTCTGTCTTTCTCTTCTTCCTCTGCATGGTGTCATTTTTCATGCTCTTCTTATCCCCCCACAAGGATTTACAGAATAGAAACATAACTTTAGACTATAGCTCTCACTATCCTTCTCTCACCATGGCTTATCCTATACACATATCATCCATCGAGCAACAATATGAAGGAAACAAAAAGCAAATAGGAAAATTCATGTCCAGAGAAATGGATTGCAAGCTACAAAATTTTCCACTGAAAAAAATGTTTGTGAGTCATAATGTGCTTTTTTTCCCATTGGTGGTGCTGAAGTAGGCAAAATGCCCCCTCTGAGATAACCGAACCACTTCTTTAATTGGAATCCTCAGTAGTGCTCAGTCTAAAAGGCGTGAGACTCATGGAAAAGATTTGGAAGGGAGGAAGAGATAAGATGGGGACATACTTTTTGACTACATTTAGTTAGTGTGTCTGGAATACAGAAGTATTATACCATTATATTAGGATTCAAGAGCTCATGTCAGATGATCACCGAGAAGCTGGTAGAATTCCTCGCACAATTGAATGTGAACTGGTTCAGGACCTCGTAGATAGCTGTGTTCCAGGAGATGTGATTACTGTGGCAGGAATCATCAAGGTGTCAAATGCTGAGGAAGGTATGTATTAACTATCTCCGGTTTTTGTGGGTTCATATTTATGCAATCCTTTGTCTTCTTGAAGAATTTCCTTCCCTCCCCAAACCCTCAACAGTCTTTGGCATTGCATGGAGATACTGTCCTCCAGAACAGGTTTTGGAGAAATACTGGTGGGGCTGCTAAGCTATATCTTAAGCATCCAGTAATTGTCATTCAGTAGCTGAAATCCTGTTAGTTAGATTGAAGAAAGTTGCACTTAAGTAGGGCCACTGAATCAGTGGAGATGTGGTGAGTCAACTCATCTGTACGTTCCATTGATCAAATGGGCCTACTCTAGTTGCAACTTTCTGTGCTACTATGTCACAGCTAGAGTAGACCCATTTAAATCGATGGAACTTGCAGAAGAGTTGACTTACCAAATCCCCATTGATTCAGTGGGCCTACTCTAGGGTGACTTACTAGCTAAAAAACAGAATTTGGACCAGTGTTTAAAATAATAATAATGAAGTCAATTGGGACTTATAGTGATCCTTTCTAGAATTTTCTAGGTATAGAGTACGGTACTCTAAAGTGAGTACAGTGGTGCCTCGCATAACGATTTTAATTGGTTCAAAAAAAAACACGTTATGTGAAACATCGTTATGCGAAACACCATTTTCCATAGGAATGCATTGGAAACCGGTTAATCCGTTCCAATAGGCACGGATTGCCGTCCTTAAGCGAAAAAACCCATAGGAAACATTGTTAAACGATACAATGTTTCCTCCATTGGAATGTATTGAAGCTGACTCACTACATTTCAATGGCTTTGCGAAGTCAATTTTTGCAAATTTAAGTGTGTCATAAAAGGGTCAAAAATGGTTTTAAATGCTTGGATTAGCTTCTGCACCCTCTAAAACGGATGCAAAAGTTAATTTGGCTTTGATCTGACTTTTCGTTAATAACGATGTTTCTTTTTTCAATTAAAAAAGTGTCTTAGAAGGGTCAAAAATGGTTCTAAATGCTTGGATTCGTTAGAGGACCCCCTAAGTCGTGTGCAAACCTGATTTGGCTTTGATCTGAACTTTCGTTAATTTATGGCGAATTGTTTTCTCCCCCATAGGAAAGCATGGAGCTGTCAGATTTTGACAGGTCCATTGGTTCCTATGGGCCGGAAAAAAAAATTAACCATAAATTAACGAAAAGTCAGATCAAAGCCAAATCAGGTTTGCACACGACTTAGGGGGTCCTCTAACGAATCCAAGCATTTAGAACCGTTTTTGACCCTTCTAAGACACTTTTTTAATTGAAAAAAGAAACATCGTTAAGTGAAGCAGGGGACCTAAAATCGCATTCGTTATGTGAAGCATGGTCCCAAACTTCGCTAAGCGAAAATCGCCCATAGGAAACATCGTTATACGGTGCATATTATTTTCTAAAAAAACACATCGTTATGCGAATTCATCACTAAACGAGGCACTTGTTAAGCGAGGCACCACTGTATTGCTATTCCCTTCTTCTGAAGGCATGCTGCTGTAATTGTACACTTTGCTCAAGGCTACACAAGCTGGCTTTTCTCCTCACAGTGGAGAATCAAACCCAACCAGCTCTCCAACCCACTGAGCTATTCTGTCAGCTCCATTCAGTGTTTAGAGTCATACTGTATTTACAACGAGTCCTTGAAAATTATGTCTGCATAGAGTAATATGTTAATTACTGATCTGATCATTTAACAGGAGCAGGAAGGAATAAAAATGATAAGTGTGTCTTCCTGTTATACATTGAGGCAAATTCCATCAGTAATACTAAAGGACAGAAAGCCAAGAACTATGACCATGGAGTGAATCATCCATCATGCATGGAATTTTCACTTAAAGATCTTTATGCTGTCCAGGAAATACAAGCTGAAGAGAACCTATTCAAGCTCATTGTCAAGTATGTTTTTTCTTGTATTTCAGTGAACATTATACCTAGTTTACTATCACATTTTAACATCCCAAATTACTGATCTGAACTTGAATTCTAGAACAAGATTACATTTTGGGGGGGAAATGCATTCTGATTTATTTAATCATAGAACAGGAACATTTGGGTTGGTATAAATGTAGTTAGCAATAATGTTTGATATTCATTATAACGTCCAAAATGTAAATACAAAGGAATATTTTTGTTAAAATTAGACGAGACATCCCGATTCCTCGGAGGAATGTTTGCAAGGTTGTCCCGAGCCATCAGTGTTCACTGTGTCCCACAAATACTAGTTAGCATGTTTTCACTTTCTTGATGTCTTCTTTTCCAACTATTTCAAGATGTTTCATTTCTCTTTAGATCTTTCTCGCCTGTACATCTTTTCTATAGTCTCTTTTTGGAGTTGTCTGTCTTCATTTCCCTTAGGGAAAAGAATGAAAAGAAGAACGGTTAGAAGAGCGCGGAGAAACAAAAGCAAATCAAAGCCATTCCTGGGGTTTTTTAAGTAGTAAAGCTGAGGATTATAAATGAAACAATGTGCCTTTATACACTGCAACAAATCCACATTCTGAGCAGAATGAACAGCATCCTCTGGTGGTTCCCAATTTTGGGTCTCCCGCTATTTCTGGAGTAAAGCTCCCAGAAGCCTTCACCACTAACTGTGCTGGCCAGGATAAGAACACTTTTCTGGAAGTCAACACCATACATCCTGTTCTTCATTCTTAAAACATAGCCCAAGGACATTCCCTCTTTATAATAAAACATCTGGCCTAACTTGGCTAAATTTTGTACAATATACACCAACATTCATTAAGGATTAGAAGAAACCTCTAATGTTTCTGATTATCTAGTTAAACTGCTTATATAAGCAGAATTCCTCTCACAATTGGTAAAACATCCTTTTTTTAAAAAAGAGATGGCTTTTTCTGGTCACAGATTCCCATAAATAAAGGAAGTATCACCTCAATACTCTGTTGGAACCAATCAACCAGAAGTACAAAATGCTATCTGCCTCTTGGATCATTGTTTCAAAGAGCTCTGTGAGTTGTGGTACCCAAGGGTCCACTGAAAAATATATTATTTACATTATTGGGCTTTATTTGGAATGCCTAGTGATTCGTATCTTCTCATTTTCTTCCTTCCCAGACCTTTTCCCAAATAGGCTTTTTCTTTATATATATTTGGCTGCATTGTTTCAGAAAAGAGATTTTTCTCTAAACTCTTCTGTTGATCTTATAAGATTGCGCAGCTGCATTCCAAGGATTCTTCAGAAGATTCTGTAAGATTTAGTATTCTAGGCCTTGGCCACAGGGCTGAGAAGCTTCCCATGCAGAAGAATCCAGGCTGGAACCTTGCCTTGCCAAGAGGATTGTGACAGGTGGCAGCCTTAACAACATATTCTTGGAGAGAACACAAAGTTCCCCTGTCTCGTTGACCATGTACATAAAGAGAGATCTATTAAGCAGCAAAACCAAGAAAGATGAAGATGCTAAAATGGAGAAAGAATTCTTGCAAACCCACTGTAGTGGAAGAACTGTAGTGCCCACCACCACAAAAAAACATAGCTAGCTTTGAATTTTGTTTGGGAATTATTTTGGTATACAGCATGCCACTTCTGTATGACTTTTGTCCCAGCTGGTCTCTTAGGAAAATTTCAGAGTAGGAGAAGATGTCACAAATGCCTTTTATGACTTCTTAAATGCTCTATTTATAAGCAGACCACACTTTCCAGAAGTATAGTATGGCTGCCGAAGAGGACACATGAATCTACTTTCTTTCTGAATATTTTTTTTAACCTGATCTGTAACTTGGTCTGCTATAATCAAGACAACTGTTCTTTGCTGTCCTCATTATCTAAGAAGTGACAAGTGAGTCTAAACTGCAGGATGCAAAACAGATTCTACTATATTTTGAATAGATTTAGAGATGGAATCTAAAATGCTTAGCCTGTATTCCTTGGAGTCCGAATTATATCATGGTAGGCATCTATCATTTTGAGAGGAGTTGCAGAGTACTATTACCCTTTGCATACACAATGTTCATTCATAAATGCTGATAAACTACCTAATGTTACACATTAGTGAATACTTAATCTAGTCAGTGTTACATGCTTTTAAATCTTATTAACCTCTTTGAAAGAGATGTAGTGTTTGAAATTAAGTGGCCAAACCTAAGAGTTTCTCTTTTCCTATCCATCTCCCTCTCTGCTGCCCAAAACTCAGCTCTGGAGGGTTCTTGTAATATTGGTTTCGTATTATTTTTAAGGGGTGCTTAACTTTGTTTTGATTATCTTTTGTGGGTTTGGAATATTTAGAACATAGGATTTGATATTTGCAGTGGGATAGGGAATAACTGTCATGAGATGGCAAGAAAACCCTCTCACTCTGCTTCTGCTAGCCAGATAATTAGCAATGAATGTTGTCTAATTCTGTAAAAGAGAGAATATAACAGTGGGTGTGAAGTTCCTTGCTTTTGAATGTCAGTATTTTTAAATGTGCAGTTTTCTGGCTGTGAGCAATGCTGATGAAATCTCAGAAACCCAAGTTGGCCTCTGTAGGTAGCCTTTTATGGCCTCACATAGCACTTCCTTCTTGCCCTTGCAGCTCTAGCAAAAGAGTGTGTGTGTGTGTGTGTGTGTGTGTGTGTGTGAGAGAGAGAGAGAGAGAGAGAGAGAGAGAGAATTCAGTGACAACACATGGTATTTGTTATAGTATTATGTGCTAATAATGAACTTTCTTCTTCTTCTTAGCTCTCTTTGTCCTACTATCTATGGTCATGAGGTAAGTGCTTCTCAAGTGACCAATAAAGAAACACGCCTTAACCCATCCTGTGGGCCAACTGAAGCCTGTTCTGAAGGTCACCGTGAAAATCCACAGTGGACTGCAGGTGGATTGCGGGGCTACGGATAATCTGCATGCTGGCTACCTTTAATTGCTAAAAGGATGTGTAATGTTTCTTCTACTGTCCTACTATAATAGGTTTTGAGCAGTATCCTGCTGAGTTTTGATGAGCAGAAAATCTTGCTAGTGAAATAGGCAGAGCGGTCACAAACACTGCTGTTGGCAAGCAGAGAGTGGGTTCTCTTCTTGGAGGTCAATTCTTGTGCAAATGGCAGTATTTTCACAAGCAGCGTGATCCCACATTACTACACTGGCACTAGTTTCTGCTAAACAGAAGCTCAATATGATATATTCAATTAATTTATAAGGTTTTATTTGTAACTGCCTCTTTATTATTTTTAAATTTTGCAAACCCCTTTTTGTAAGAGATTAACCCTCTAGCTTTATAGTATTTTGCTATTGCCCTTTCATCCTTGCTTTTGAAGGCTACAAATCCTGGCCTTCTGTCGAATATCAGTAAGGCAAATTTGGACCATATACTGTGACATTTTGAGATAATCCTTTCAAATACTTTTTAATGTTACATTTTTCATGTCACAGATTGTGAAAGCTGGCTTAGTTCTGGCATTATTTGGAGGATGTCAAAAATATGTGGATGATAAAAATAGGATTCCCATTCGAGGTGATCCACATCTTCTGATGGTTGGAGATCCGGGATTGGGGAAGAGTCAGATGTTGCAGGTATGGATTCATTTACTAATTAATATAGCTTATTTCTTCTAAATGTCAGTTATTTTTAAAAGTGTGCTGTAGGACTTGTTGCCAAGTTAATTTCTACACAAAAAAGATGGTTTTCCCTGGGTAGTTTGATCTTTTAAAACTCCATATAGACGTGATACATTTATGCTCAAACTGTACTGAACTTAAAGGAGTGCCATTTTGAGTTTGTTGTGAGGAAATTAGAGTATATTGTTTAAGAGGAAGGATATAAAATTTCTAGCTTTTCCATCCTTGGTGAATCTATAGGCTACTCTGCATGAAACCAAACAGTGCTGAGCCACCTGATGAGACGTGTTCCTTTCAGTGTGACATCAGTCTTCCATCATACCTTGGAACAACATGTAGATGAGAAGGACTTAAGATCAGCCTCCACTCCAATGTCCAGTCTCCTCCACTTCATTCATTACAAGCTGCTTGCTTTTAACATCTAAACTCTTGAAGGAAAATGTTCCCCAAAATGTGCCTTTTTGAGCAGTTTGATTATACAAAAGTATCACAACAGTATGGATTTTGGACCATTTTGTGCCACCACTGCCTTGTTTTTCTCTTTTTTGTGTGTAAATCAGCTGGTGGGATTGAAAAGTAATTTTTTTTTCATTTTGTTTTTCTAGGCTGTGTGCAATATTGCACCTCGTGGTGTATATGTTTGTGGCAATGTCACTACTGCTTCTGGCCTGACTGTGACTCTGTGCAGAGATAGTTCATCTGGAGATTTTTCACTGGAAGCTGGTGCCCTTGTGCTTGGAGATCAAGGTACTGTATAAACATATTTATATTTCATTAAAAAGCAGGATTAAAGGACTAACTTGTTTCCTGTATTCAAAGCTTTCTGACATTTTTCTCCACTTCGTCAGATGCAACAAGTGTAAGCCTAAATTGGCAGACATTTGTACAAAAACAGTGGAAGAATATTAAAGGCTCCCTGCTATTTATGCTCAACTCATGGTTAAGCCTGGTTCTACTGATTAGAAATATTGGGTACCTAGCATTGATAGTATATTGAATACCCTGAGATTTCTATAGATAATTCTCAAATTAGGCATCTAAAAATTGTGAGAAATAACAGGTGTTTCAGAAAAGTGATGGAATCCACATTTTAAAAAAATATTTTATGCCATTCGGAGTACTGGAGTGAAAAGTACTGAATCAGATATCTCCTTCTGCATATTATTCAAAACATCCATTATCTGTGATGCTTTTTGGTTGTTACTTGTCAGCCTTCAAGAAGGCTCTCTGTGCCAATTCTTGTATCATCCTTCTGTAACTTTGTTTTTAGGCATTTGTGGAATAGATGAGTTTGATAAGATGGGGAGCCAGCATCAAGCCTTGCTGGAAGCTATGGAACAGCAAAGTATCAGTCTTGCTAAAGCTGGTATTGTTTGCAGCTTGCCCGCTAGGACATCAATTATAGCTGCAGCGAATCCAGTTGGAGGACACTATAACAAAGCCAAAACAGTATCTGAGAATTTAAAGTAAGTATTTTTAAAGTATTTGCCATATAGCCTGCAACAGAAATCAGGAAATAAGATTTTCCCAATAAAAAATTGGGTTTTGGAACTACTGTATGTGTACTGATTGTTTAAAATTTGGCAAGTATGTTCAGATTGGGAGTACAGTATATATGTGCTTCCTTTCAAACCGTACTGTTGTATTTGCCTTGTTTCTTCTGACTGTCCTTTCAGGTATGTTGATCTGATAGAGAGAAAAACTCTAGCCAGGTACACAGAGATATTGTCTGTACTGTTTTTCTCTCCCTAGAATGGGAAGTGCTCTATTGTCCCGATTTGACTTGGTATTCATACTGCTGGATATACCAAATGAAGATCACGATCATTTGCTTTCTGAGCACGTAATGGCAATGAGAGGTGGAAAACCATCAGGATGCAGCAGTGCTGTAGTGACTCGTGGGAATTCTCAGAGTTCAAATGTGTCCGTCCTTGAAGCTGTTTCAGACAAACCATTATCAGAAAGATTAAAGGTAGTGTATTCGGTTCACGTTTCTTTCATACCCCTCTCTTATAGAACAGCACCCTGAAAGCCCAAAGGTTAGGATGACTTCTGGAGTGATACTGCATGAGGTGCCAGGGAGTTGCAAATAATTGGGAGTTGTGGCTGTCCTCCAGACCACCACCCCACCTCCTCTTTAGTCGTTCTTTCCACAGATGATAATGGCATGTCAAAGATACATCCTTAACAACTTAGCAACAACAGGGGCTTTGCCTGAGGAGGGTCCTCTTTCTTCAGAGTGATTTCAACATTATTATCTCTTTCAACAAACAATGGTTTCCTAGCAACTGGCTCTGCAGTAGAACTGGAGTTTTGCTATTCCCACTTTAACCCTTGGCCCAGCTTTTCCGTATCATCTTTGACATCTAGGGCTGTTGGGGGGTGGTAGACCTAATCCCCCCAAAGGCCCTCATACTTTCTGACCTGAAGAGGGTCATACTCTGGGTCTGGAGGGACACACCCCACATGATCTCCCAGGGTGCCCTTGATATGCTCTATTTCCCCTATTGAGGGCTTCTTTGCCTGCCACTCATGTTCCTTCTTATGCCTCTCTTGTTCTTCAGTTTCTCCCCAGTAAGGGGGTTTCTTTTAAGAAACGTGCTCTGCATCTCTCTGCCTTGAGCTCAACCCATTTGCCCAGCCAAGGTCCTCTTTCATGATCACCAACCAGCCTTGTCTTTCTGCCCCTCTTCTTCTGTGATCTGACAACCTTCTCCTTCAGCATTCTCCTCTAACTGCCCCTCAGTTTTCTTTTCCTTTCCTTTTAATACCCATCTTCTTTCCCACCTAAATAGCTCCCTGTATTGGTAAGTCTTTTCTCTCATTTCGGAGTTCTTGCTTTCGCAGGCTCAACGTTTTCATCTCTTCCTCTAGAGTTATTAATAGAGGTTCCTTTGTGCTTTCTGGGGTGGAGAATGGCACACCACCGACAGCTGCAGTGTTGTCCTCTTCAGGCTCACGTAAATCAATTCTGACATGGCAACTGTTCTCATGGTTTTCTAATTACAAAGAACTCAGAAGTGGTTTACTCTTCCCTTTTTCTGCCACTTGCCCATGACTGCGCAGGCTGGCTCTATCCCGAGAATGCACAATGGGGAATTGAACTTCTAACCTCTGGCTCCTGATCAGTGGTTCTACCTTACTGCCAAAAGTAAAATATTCTCCTTGCTGCATTTGCCCAGAAACACTTCTTATTCATGCAAAAAGTGAGGAGATGGATGCCATCTATTGAGTAACATTTGTGAGTGGGAGGAAAAACTGTGGAAGCTGGTGGCACCTGGAAGTGCTTTCGTCCAGCGGCACCTGGAAGTGCTTTCGTCCAGCGTTAGCATTTACTGTGTCAAGCTGCATTTTCTGTTTCCAGGCCCCTCTTGCACACATGTGGCAGCAGGTCCTGCAGAGTGTCCGGTCTTATGATTCACCGGTACACACCACCAGTGGAAGGGGCTGCCTTCCACTATGGTTTCAATTCCAACTATCTGAAGAGGGTGATCTCATATTGGAGGAATGAGTTTGACTGGGAGAAGCAAGTTAAAATCCTCAACCAGTATCCACATTACAAAACCACCATTGAAGGAATTGAAATTCATTTTATCCACGTGAAACCCTCTCACATCCCAAAAGATCAGACTGCCAGACCTTTGTTGATGGTGCATGGTTGGCCTGGTTCTTTTTATGAATTCTATAAAATCATCCCACTGCTTACCAATCCTGATCGTCATGGTGAAAATATAGTGTTTGAGTTCATCTGTCCGTCTATTCCAGGCTATGGCTTTTCTGAGGCCCCACACCAGCAGGGTTTCAACACAATAGCGGCTGCTCGAATTTTTCACAAGCTGATGCATAGACTAGGATTCCAGGAATATTATGTACAGGGTGGAGATTGGGGTTCCGCGATCACTCAAAACATGGCCCAGATGCTGCCAAAATCTGTAAAAGGGCTTCACTTGAAGGTGGTTTTCCTAACCAAAATGGATATGAGCTCCTTGGTTTCTGTACTACTGGGGAATTATGTCCCATGGCTCGTGGGCCTCACTAGAGAAGATGCACACCGTATATTCCCATACTTCCAGAAGAATGTGTATAATATCTTGCGTGAGAGTGGCTATATGCACATCCAGGCAACCAAACCAGACACAGCAGGATGTGGATTAAACAACTGCCCAGTGGGGCTGGCTGCATACATTTTGGAGAAATTCTCCACCTGGACGGATAACTCATTTCTGAACTTGAATGATGGGGGTCTGGAAAGGAAATACACTCTGGATGAACTTTTGACCAATGTGATGATTTACTGGGTGACTTCTTCCATTGTATCATCAATGCGCTTTTACAAGGAGAACTTTTCCACAAATCCAAACACAACTCCTGCTGCTCGGGTTGGAGTTTATGTTCCTACTGGCATTGCTGCCTTTCTGAATGAAATTGCTCACTGCCCACGTTCCTGGGCAAAGAAGAAGTTTAAGAACATTGTCACCTACTCCTACATGCCACGAGGTGGACACTTTGCTGCCTTTGAAGAGCCAGAACTCTTGGCACAGGACATCAAGCAATTTGTGCGGAAAGTAGAACACCTGTAAATTAACATCATAGCACAAGCATTGCAGAGTGCGCTGTGAATCGAGCACAGGAAGCTTTTGGAAAACTTACGACACTTAAAGAGTAACATTTGTTATATAATTCAGCAGCTCTGTGTTGTGATGATCCACAAACACACACACACACACACACACACACACACACACACACACACACACACACACACACACACACACACACACACACAAATGACTTGCTAGGGCTATACAGTGGTGCCTCGCATAGCGAGGTTAATCCGTTCCGGATTAACCTTCGCTATAGCGAAGCATCGCTAAACGGAATTTTAAAAGCCATAGAAACGCATTGAACTTCGTTCATTGCGTTCCTATGGCTTTAAAACTCACCGTTAAGCGATGTTCCTCCACAGCACCGCCATTTTCACGCCCTCGGTAAGCGAGGGCAGGGTGTGAAAATGCGGCGTGGACCTTCCGGTGGCCATTTTGGAACCGCCGATCAGCTGTTCTCCCCCGCTTCGTTATGCGATATTCGCTAAGCGAATCACTTAGCGAATATCACAAAGCGAAAAATCGCCATAGGGGCCATCGCTGAGCGAATGCTCCAGCGATGGCCCAGAGCACCTCGTTAAGCGATTTATCGCTCAGCGAGGTGCTCGTTAAGCGAGGCACCACTGTATCTTGTATGAATATTTAACCCAAGTGTCCCAGCTCTAACACTCTTTGTAACCACGAGAGCAACTGTGGTTCATATGTGATCGTACTGGTTTGCTGAAGCAAACCAGCTGAAGCAAAGCTCTGATAATACCTGAACTGTATTTTTATTTTTAGCTCATTCCAGGAGAAAACTTTGACCCAATTCCACATCAGTTGTTAAGGAAATACGTCGGTTATGCTCGACAATATGTACAACCCAGATTATCTCCAGAAGCTGCTCAGGTTCTGCAGAAATTCTATCTTGAGCTCAGACAACAAAGTCAAAGAGCAGATAGCACGCCTATCACCACACGACAGCTAGAATCATTGATACGTCTTACTGAGGTATCGTTCCATTTCATACTACTTGTTGTGAAATGTGTAGCAGATTTTGACATGTGACGGATTACAGAGCTATTAGTGGGTTTCAAAATATGGTGGGGGGTTGGGGAGATAGCATAAATATTGGTACATGGTGATGCCATCAATCTTGTAGGCCTGGATTCCGATCCCATCTAAACTGCTAGATTTCTTGTGAATCTATGAAAATCCTCTCAATCCCTTCACCTAACAGAGCTAGGTATTTGTATGCTTCTCCGGGGGGTTGTTTTGTGTGTGTGTGTGTGTGTGTGTGTGTGTGTAAGTAAATGTTTGTTTGTTTGTTTGTTTGTTTGTTTATTTGATTTATATCCCGCCCATCTGGTCTGGTCGATTATGTTTAGCATAGAACATGCTAAAAGTTAATAAACCAGCTTCAGATGTATGTATATCCTTCAGTTTCTCATATATCACTTGCATGGATGATTCTGTCATTAATGTCCTGTGAATAGTCTCTTAAGAAGACAAATTACTTACAGTTTGATGCCCCATATGATATCACTTGCAAACAGAATACTAAAATGTCCCATATCTTAATTACAATTCTGGTCATAAAATCCAGGTTAACTCTTCCGGTGTTGATTTAATTTCAGTGTATTAACTGTATACTACTTTTCCTCTTCCCTACTATAATTTACACCGATACTACCTCTAAGGTACTCTACTTTGTTCTTCCTTCACTTTGGAATCTTGTTTTTTTTTTTTTTAAATTCAGAAGCTAATATGGTTCTCTTTTTTTGTATATTCTATTGAGTGATCATGGCAATTTGAGTCTTCCTATATTCTTAGAAGTATTTTGTGTCAGGTTTTAATATCAGAATCTGTGAAGTTGTGTTAAATTGATTCAGATAACTGGATGTGCATATTGATTCAGATAATTGGACCACAATCATTTACTCTAGTACTTGGTAAAATTTCTTTTTTTAAAAAAAATTACATTTCATAGAATCCACCAGCCAACATAGCTGGTAACAATGGTGGCTGAGGGATTCAGGGAGCTGTAGTCAAAAACAGTTTAATTTCTTGAACCCTTGGGTAGAGAGATCTTTCCCAGACCCAGAATTCTAGACATGCTGGAGCTGTTTTGTATTGGCAAAACATACAGCTTGCTTCTGGGCCAAGGCTTCTCCCATATGTTCTTCTCTCCATCTAGGTCATTAATAGACTAACACATGGGCCTTTAGCAGATACCACTTTGATACTGAATCTGGTAATGATCATTTTCTGAATATAGTTTACCAGTCTGCAGTGACAGAGCTTTTTCCTCGCCCCGTGTTCAAACTGAAGAAAGAGGCATATAGTATATTTTTCTGTATTCATTACAGCCAGGTGGAAACAATGTTTACACAGCCTTTTTTTTAAAATCTGACTGAAGTATTACATAATACCTTAAATTTAATAAGGCTTTTTGTTAAAGGCACGTTCAAGACTAGAATTGAGAGAAAAAGCCACAAAGGAGGATGCTGAGGATGTCGTAGAACTAATGAAATACAGGTAATACAACTCTTGGAAAAACAGCTTTTCAGCAAGCCAAAAGTCTGTGGAGCTCGGTTATGCACCTGGAGTTCCAGATAACCAGGTGCTGCTTCAATTTGCTTCAGTAATCTGCCTATTTCTTGCCTGAGTAAATGAAGCTGTATCATACATTGGAATGAATGAGCAGCCATTTTCCAATCAGTGGTCTGTGTGCACATTGGCATAACTGGCTCCTGGTGGTTAACCATGTGCCATTTTTCATACAGACAATTTACTTATAGCTGGTAGAGATTAAGGGCAAAGGATGTGCATTCCCACAAGTTCATTGTGTTCTGAATATTACTGCCCCATAAATTAGTAAATATGAGGAACAACTTTTAGTGTTCTTCCTGACACTAGGAAGTAAACCTTAATTTTTGGTAGCTATATTACTGTTCCGCTGGATTTTTGTTTTAAGCACTATGTACCTTCAGAAGAGAATATATAACAGAAAGAAAAAGGCCGGGGGGGGGGGTAAGTTTAACTAGAGACATGAAGATCTGAATTTCTTCTGGATTCTTTTTTCCTGGTTCATCATATTGCTGAGCTTAGCCTTTTAAATGACAAAAATACTGCTCTGCAGATTGTTAGGCTCGTGATATATCTCAGAAAACATTTATCAAGGGAAATCTTTATCTGCAGAAACAAGTCAGTATACACAAATAGAGTTCAAAGAAATCCAACCCCACATAATATTATAGGCTGCATTCTTTATAGAACCATATTCACAACAAACCACATGCAACTTATAGGCTCAGAATAGTTGAACATAAGCAGGACAATACTATTATGAAAAGTAAGAGGACAATTTCATATTACTTACTAAAAACATTTTGTTAAAGTGCATCTGTTCTCATATACAACACAAAACGTGTTTGCCTCTATGACATCTTACTTGTATAGCTGAAATAAAGTCAGCTTTTAAAATTTTTTTCCTGTTGTGTGGATACTTAATGGCATTCTTAAGGTCAGTCCTTGGTACAGCTGCCTCCCACTTTCTGTTTTAAGATCTGGACCACACTGAAAAAGTCTGGATACGTTGTATAGGTGCTGGCTTACGTTGTGTTTCCTGTATAGAACTACAAGCCATAAGGTTTCAACCTCTCTGTGGTTCAGGGCAAGAAATCCTATATCTTCCAAATGTAGTTCATGTCTAGTTTGTATTTCTCTCTGAATTAGTTATTGATTGCACACGTTTTGGGTTTTTTCTGACTCAAGCATGTTAGGAACGTACTCTGATGAGTTTGGAAAGTTGGATTTTGAACGTTCCCAACATGGTTCTGGAATGAGCAACAGGTCCCAAGCAAAGAGATTCATTTCAGCTCTTCATGGTGTAGCAGAAAGAACCTACAGCAACCTTTTTGAGTTTCAACAGCTTCGGCAGATTGCTAAGGAAATAAACATACAGGTAAGTCAAACTAAAAGTGTAGATTAGCTGTTGACATTCTCAGCTAGTAAACGGAGTAGTAAAGTTATGATCCCAGGATTTCTATTTCTGTTGAACAAGAGAACCCAGTTATGTTGCCCCAGTACTGCTGACTTTTAGCCTCTGAATTTAGAATCTGTGTTGATTGTCTTGTATTTTTTTTATTCCAGGTAGCTGATTTTGAAAACTTCATTGGGTCGTTAAATGACCAAGGTTATTTCTTGAAAAAAGGCCCCAAATTATATCAGCTTCAGACTATGTGAAGGAATTTGACATCAAAACAGCCATTTTGTTGGAACATGTCAGCAGAACACCACAGTGGACTGCATTGTGGCTGATTAAACCTTACAGGTAGCCAAGATAGCTAAGATGGTGATTTAAAATCACTATTGGCTTATTCCAGAAAGCATGGCTGCATGTAGTGAGTGCAGAGACACTTTGTGTAAGGTATTTACATAATTGGAAAAAAAGAATTTTGGCAGGTGTTTGAAAGTGATTTAAACGATCTGAATGGAACTGATGCATGGCATGGCTTAATTTAATTTACGTTCAAAAGCAGCTATCAAAAATGGTTTACTTTTTAATATGGAAGTATAATCCAAGATGCCAATTGTATCGTAGTATTTTGAAGGGCTTGGTAGACTTTCATGATACATACTTGCAGGAAGCATGTGCCTGTTCAGACAAGCAACACTGTGCTTTCTTTTGGATGCTGCTACTTTCTCAGTTTGTTTTCAATTGCAGCTTGCTGTTTCAGACTCTACAAAAAAGTATGGTTAGCATTAAACAAGGGATTAACAGGAAAGCCATGCTGTGTGTGGGAGGGAAGGAGGAAGTGTGAAACTCTACAATTATCTTCTGAGCAGACTCATTGCCTGTTGAAGATTCAGCTCTGAAAATTCAGGCGCTGGCTGTGAACATCTTAATGTTATTGATTCTAATACTGTATCTGTAATGTAATGATTTGAATAGTTACAACTGAAATTGTTTAAATGTAACAAGTAGTGTAGACAATGTTTATAGTCTCAACAGATTTTCATCCCAATTTACTGTGATATTTTAAATTTGAAGTCACGCTCCGTTTCTGTTATGTTCAGTGTAACTGTTAATTAATGTTCTGTAATGAATAAAATTATTCTGCTTTCTTAATGCTATGAACAGGGTACTGTGTAAAAAAGCAATGTATGAAATTCCATTGATGGGCACAAAGTGCATGTTCTGTGTATATATCAGTCAATATGTTTGTGAGGGTGTATTTTGACTTATGATTTATATTACAATGTGCCATGTTGTCTGAGCAGCTGCTTGAAGAAAGGACAGTCCCCTGCTATGTATGTATCACCCTACTAAAAAATGGTTTGTGGAATAATTAGATCAAGTCACAACCTGTATCATTTGGAGGTTACAGAATTACTTCTTTCCATGGCATGTTTATGGTAAGAGAGTGAGTGAGCTATCATCAGTGTCTTGTGCTGCATAGAAACACATGAACAAACCAGGCAAATTTACGACATTCATAACATGACTTTTTTCGCAAGAAGTGTTTACCATTTGTTGGAACACGGACTGAGGAGCTCCACAGCCATGTTATATAGTGTTACTCTAATTACAAGACTGTGTGCGCACAAACGGTGGGGTCCATAGGAATGTAATTAGGAAAGCTGAAGAGTATTTACACTAGACAGGTGTATCGATTTAGTACTATTTTAATGGCAAGGGATCCGGCCTATGGAGCCCTGCAGTTTGTTGAAGTACTTAGAATTCCCAGCTGTAGCTCAGGGGAGGGCACTAGAGGCTCTCTAGGCGCAAAACTTCTAAAGCAAGGGTCCCCAACCCCCAATCCATGGCCCAGTGCTGGTCCGTGGGCTTCCTGGAACTGGGCCATGGAGACAAATCTCTGCCCCCCAGCCACGAGCGCAACATGCCCAGATACGAGTGTGGGGAGGGCCTGGCTCCCCAACCAGTCCGTGGTCCCAAAAAGGTTGCGGACCACTGCTCTAAAGAATACATTTCTCCCTTCAACAATGCTGGGTTTAGCGGTGCTGGACCCCCGTGTAGTTCAAAATCCTTGTATAACTCATGCCCCCAAAATAACTACAATGCATAAACAGTTAACTGTGCAGCATGCCCCAGCAGTCTCTGCGGCTACCATGCCAGGTGAGGGGGCTAGCCAGGCTGCTGCCATTGGACCAGGGCTGTTTCACTGCCGACAACAGGAGTACTGGTAAGTCCAAGACCCATCTTTCTCAGGCCACTTCCTGGAGGTGAATACACCACAGTATTTCTTGAATATTTAGTTCCCTTATTTATTTATTTTTTTGGGGGGGATTCATACATACCCAAAACCATGCTGGTCAAGCCTGTGCAATTCAAGGGACAGGAAGAAAGTAACAGACGGATCCATGAAATTAAGAATAGATCCTCATTATTTCATATGATTTTTATGTAGGATCCTTATCAAATCACTATCAAAATCATAGATCCCATATATACTCACAGACTGCACAAAAATTATGTATCCTTTGACACATAGGGCTTTGCAGTGGCACAAACATGGATCCAAGGCATGGATCCTCATGGTTTCCTGTAATTTTTAGATATAATCCTCCCTAAACCACTGTTGGATCATAGGTCCCATTTGCCCTCACAGACTACACCACAGAAATCATGTGTCCTTCAGTGCACAGCTTTGCATTGGTGCAAAACATTATTTATGAGGCACACAGCCTCGTGCAACCACATGATCTTTCAGTAACATCCTCTCCAAACCACTGTCCAATTATAGGCCCCATCTGTGCCCACAGGCTACATCACAGAAATCATAAGTCCCTCAGTGCATGGCTTTCCAGTGGTGCAAAAACATGGATCTGAGGTACAGATCTTCAAGGATCCACATGATTTTCAAGTAGGATCATCCTCAAGCCAGTCCCAAATAGTAAATTCCATTTGTACCCACAGACTAATAGAGATCATGCCACTGCAGTGGTGCAAATACATGCTTCCCAGGCTCAGATTCTCATGGACACACAAAATTTCAATGTAAGATCATTTCCAAACCACTGTCCTGTCATAGGCCCCCTCTGTAACCACAGACTACAGCACAGAAATTAGGGGGTCAGTGCATGGCTTTGAAGTTAAAGAAAAACATTTATCTGAGCCATGGATCCTCATGGATTCACAGGATTTTTATGTGGGATGTGCCCCAAGCCAGATCTTGCCCCTTTGCACTGATCCTGGGTAGGACCATGAAAAGTAATACCCAGGGTCAGTGCAATACCCAGCATCATGTGCTTGATGGCAATTGTGCTTCTGTTGTACACCTCAGGATGACCAAAAGAGTGTCACAAAGAACAAGATGGAGTTCCCTCCCATCCCATGCCCAAAGTCTGACTGGAAAGACAGTTGCATCTTTCTTCAAAACAATGCCACTAGGTAGGAGTCAGGCTTGATCAAGTCTGTTGAACGTTGGCCACGAAAATTAGGAGACTTCTTTTAAAACGCAAGCCACACTCCTTCCAATAATGGATATCCCCTAATGCACAGTATGTGATGTTGGATAGATCCAGATCTGGGATGCAGAAGTCCTGGGGGGTTCCTGGAAGCTGGCTATCCAGACAACCATCTCTGGTTCTTGGCACTCATGGTGGGGAAAAGAAGGGGAGCCCCACCCAGCCCGGTCCAGATATGCAGGATCAACCCCTGTGTCTCAGGAACCTTCATTCTGGGAGATGCTGGGGATTAACTTCCCCAATGGGCTAGTGGTAAGCATAAAAAAGAAGAGCAAAGTGGCCCAGGATGCTGAGAAGGGAAGCAAAGAGGAACTGGTGTTTTGTGTTTGTGAGAAGTTAACATGACCCTTAGGCAACTTGGCAGGTGTTCTCAAAAGACGTCTGGCTGCTGCTTCTAGGCACAGGAGCCAGACCAGGGAAGCAGTTGGCAGCCCAGCCTACATAACCACCACTGAGCTCTGTGAAAGCCTAGGCTAGTATTTTCATTCGAAAATGGGTGGTTGCTCTGCAGGATTCCAGAGCCTGGCCTGTTTACATGGTTGCCGCAGCAACAGGGTTCCCAGCCAACCCAGGGCGACTGACTGGTCATCCGCGCTCTGGACCCGGCTGCTGAGAGAAGCGGCTTCAGGGCTCTCCTGCTGGTGGCTCTTAGTTGGGCAAGACGTTTGCTTCAGCCAAGCTCTCCAGTGTCCGCACATCATGGCGCTGAGAAGGATGTTCATAGTGTCGATATCAATGTCAATCCAAGGGTCCTCAAAAGCAAGTTTTTTTTTTTTTTTTTTTTAAACAGAGGGATGGAGAATAAGATATAGGAAATAAGTCATAGTGACATGGCTAACACAAAATTTTAAGGAGGGGAATCTCTTGAACAGCAAATGGAGCCACATAATTAACTTTTTAAGAAACGTAAAGACACTGAACCATTTTTTAAATTAAAAAAAATTATGGCTAAGCCAAGCAGGCACTCACCCTTTTTTCTAAAAGTTGGGGGAGAAAATTTCCACCATCTAACAAATGTAGCCATAGATAATTTTTTAACTTGAAAATACATCCAACCATCTATTTTTTTAAAGTGGGAGGGGAAAGATGGTTCCTACCCATAAAACAGGGTTTCTTCCTGCCCCATAAAGGGGAAAAAGACAGTGCAAGCCCTTACAGATATCAGGTAAAAATAAAGCCAAATAAAAGAAAGACATTTTAAAAATTGAATAAAAATAAAGCAACAAAAAGGACCCCTGTGTGTGTGTGTGTGGAATTGCCTTTGGTTCTAGAACATCAGTGCAGTAAGAAAGAATTCAGCTAGTATAGGATTTTTTTTCATCATTGTTGTTTTTCTCATTACAAGCTTCCATCTCTGGAGATGATGAAGCACGTCTATATTACTGTAAGCATCAGGTTATGGTTACACAATGGTTAATTTACACTGCCATCCTCCCCGCCTGCTCAGATCTCAGCAATGTACTACGTAGCCACTTTGACTACATGCAGATGTAACTGATGAATCAAGGCATTAAAAGGCAGAAGATTAATCAACCCAAATCAGCAGCTCTAACTAAAGTTATTTAATCACTTGGCTCATTAAGAGTAATTACTTTTTTTATTTTTGCTTACTTAAGACATGATCCCAAGTTAAGCTGTTTTTTTTAAATATACATATATATATATATACACAGAGAGAGAGGGAGAGAGAGAGAGAGACTTTAAAGGGGGAAAAGAACAGATCACAGCATCTTCCAGACCCTTAGGGCAGCCAAGCAGGATGAGGGGAGAGGACGTGCTGGGTCCCCCCTCCCCGTTCAAGCCTCCAAAGGAGAGGAAGGAGAAGGACCCACACACACGCACACACACAACCTGCCTTCTAGGACTAAACCACTCAGTCTTCTTCACCCAGTCATGGACAGGCATGGGAGTTTGAAATGTGACAGAGTTCAGAGGTTAGTCCATCATGATCTCTGGCCAGCAGTCCAGGTGGGCACTAACCGTACCCAAACAGCTCTGCCTCTCACAACATTGATTTTTTTGCTCTTTTTTCCCTCTCTTTCAGCATGTGAGGAGGTGGTGCCCGTGTTCCTGCTCTGCAGGCACCCCAGCAGAGGAAGGCCTGCTCCTTTACCTGCCAGGCAGGACCCTGAAAAGCCGACGCCCTGCCATCGCAAACGTTTCCTAAAGCCAAACGAAACCCGAGACCCTGCCCTCAGGGACCCTCCAGTCTGAATCCACAAAGCTTCTAATCAGCAGAGAAAAGGGAGGGAGAGAAGAGCAGGGAAATCCTCCTCCTTTCTTAGCCTTGGAGGTGATGAAGGAGAGGAGAAGAGGGGCAACCACAGGTACATGGAGAACTCTGTGGTCGACATCTAACAGAGCATAGCTTCTTCCAGACCTTTAGGGCAGACAGACAGGATGAGGGGAGAGGAGGTGCCGGGTCCCCCTCACAATTTTTTTTTTGTTGTTGTTGTTTAGTCGTGTCTGACTCTTTGTGACCCCATGAACCAGAGCACACCAGGCCCTCCTGTCTTCCACTGCCTCCCAGAGTTTGGTCAAATTCATGTTGGTAACTTCGATGACACTGTCCACCCATCTCGTCCTCCGTCGTCCCCTTCTCCTCTTGCCTTCACACTTTCCTAACATCAGGGTCTTTTCCAGGGAGTCTTCTCTTCTCATGAGATGGCCAAAGTATTGGAGCCTCAGCTTCAGGATCTGTCCTTCCAATGAGCTCTCAGGCTTGATTTCCTTTAGAACTGATAGGTTTGATCTCCTTGCAGTCCAGGAGACTCTCAAGAGCCGCCTCCA